ATGTTTTTATCAGCTGTTTGGACTCTCATTCTGACGGCACCCATTTACTGCAGAGGATCCGCTGGTAAGCAAATTATGTAATGCTGAATTTCTCCAAATCTGTTCCAATAAAGAATCAAACTAATCTTGGATGGCGTGAGAGTTAATAGGGCGGAGACCCCCACCTTTTTTGGGAATCACAAAGTACCGGGAGTAAAACCCTTGCTGGCTTTCCTCTCGCGGCACCGTTCTTATCACTCCTTTGTTCAAGAGAGAAGATATTTCTTCCTCTAAAACCTGCGCCGATTCCCCCTGTGCTGTTGACATAACCACTCCTTTGAAACTCGGTGGTTTTACAGCAAATTGGAGTCTGTAACCCTTCTCTATTGTGGATAGAATCCACGGAGATACTGCACATGAGCGCCAGCTCTCTGCTCGTGCAGCGAGTGTGCTCCGCTCCCCTTCGCTCACTGGTGGTGTGGTGGGCATTGCAACTCCAGTGGGGAATCTTTTGGTTTCGTTTTCATAATTTTTATTGTTGTTTTTATATTCTTCTCCGCCCTTGGCCTGGATGTGTGGGAGTTTCTTTTATTTTTACACCTTCTTTGCTCGTGTAAACATTCTCCTCTGCCCTCGACATTAACCCCGTGGGTGGAGGGAGGGGAATAGTTGCAGGGAGTACTCCGTGAACTTGTGGCACTGACCCTTGTACAACTGGGGGCGGGAGAAAAGTGTTGAACTCTGAGGGGGGTGGAGCAGAAAACCCCAGGTGCTGCTTCCTGTCCCCCTGTGTTAAACAGTCCTGACCCTAGGTTGCTCGTCTCTTTTTGCCCCCTTGAGGGTTAGAAGGACGATGCTTTGCTGCAGCCACAGCATAAGACTGTTTCCCCTTAGCCTGAGCCGGCCTTGGCTGTGCTGACACATTAGCCGGATGCTGGGGTGGTGGGGGGCGATTACCACGATAGTTCGTGTATCCCCCTCTTGACTGTGACATGGAACTCACGCGAGCAGGCTGATAAGGTCTGACTGGCGGTTTCCTTGGCAGGCAGGTTTCGAACGCCTCTCCGTCCTTCTTTCTCAAGTCACACTGTTGGCGCATGGCTGTGACAGTTGAGCCAAACATTGCCTTGGGATCTACGGGGGCGTCTAGAATTTCCACCTTTTCCTTTTCTGAAAGGCCTGAGAGACTGAGCCACACGTCCGTAAACAGTTGAACGGTAAATCCAATAATGCGTCAGTCGAGTACAGCTTCCACAATCTTCACGGGGAAGAAAGCGAGAATGACGCTGCAGCGGGCTGCGGTGAGTTATATACCGGGGAGGCGGGACTCCCTGATCGCTGCAGCGATTGGTCTGTCAGTCTGACAGACGTGGTGTAATTGGTGCTTCCGCAGTCCTGAGGCGTTCCCATAGTGAGATACTGAACGGATGTTAGAAAGAGAACTTTAAAATAGCATCATATGACCCCTTTAACTCTTCTCAATCAGTTCTGTTTAATTCCTTCAACTATTCCTTTAACTGTTCACTTGAAGGTGAAATGTGAGTGGCCAACTTTTTCTCTGGGCAGATTAATGCATTAAAGTGTATTTCCATGACAGGTCACATTATCACAGTCTCATCCCTTGTGCTTGTTTCCCACAAGACTAGAAAGCTTTCGAGAGCTTCAATCGTTGTCCTTAAACCTGAGATGCACATTACACACCTCGCACATTACAGAGCTGAGAGCATGTCCTTGTCATAATGACAGTGCAAGTAAGCAACGGAAGCAGCAGCTCAATATTTAGACACTGAAGTGAAGGGGAAGTCTTAGCCTTAGGGGAACATACAGGATATCATTTGCTGAGATAATCAGTGGTTTGCTGACAAAGCCTGGAGTTGATTTATGGTTTCCAAAGTTCCTCCTGCAACACTTGATACTTGGCTTTTGTTTGTGTGTCAAAAAAGAAGTAAAAGAATAAATACAGATGAAGTTACTGAAAGGGATAGATTGAGGGACAGTGACATATATTGTATGCTGCTTCACTATGCAATAATAGATTGCTATGCAATAATGTTTTGAAATAAATGAATACTTTTAACCAGCTAAGAGGCTTTAAATGGATCAGTAAAGACATTTTTCATTGTCAACATTGATAATAATAAGAAATGTTTCTTGAGCACCAAATCAGCATATTTGCATGATTTCTGAAGGATCGTGTGAAACTGAAGATTGGAGTAATGATGGTGAAAATTCAGCTTTGCATCACAGGAATAAATTAAATTTTAAAATGTATTACAGCAGAAACGGCTATTTTAAATTGCGCTAATATTTCACTGTTTTTACTATAATTTTGATCAAATAAATGAAGCCTTGGTGATGTAACGGAGAGTCAGAGGCGTGCGGATCCATTTGCAGCTTACTTGAAGGTGAAATGTGAGTGGCCAACTTTTTCTCTGGGCAGATTAATGCATTAAAGTGTATTTCCATGACAGGTCACATTATCACAGTCTCATCCCTTGTGCTTGTTTCCCACAAGACTAGAAAGCTTTCGAGAGCTTCAATCGTTGTCCTTAAACCTGAGATGCACATTACACACCTCGCACATTACAGAGCTGAGAGCATGTCCTTGTCATAATGACAGTGCAAGTAAGCAACGGAAGCAGCAGCTCAATATTTAGACACTGAAGTGAAGGGGAAGTCTTAGCCTTAGGGGAACATACAGGATATCATTTGCTGAGATAATCAGTGGTTTGCTGACAAAGCCTGGAGTTGATTTATGGTTTCCAAAGTTCCTCCTGCAACACTTGATACTTGGCTTTTGTTTGTGTGTCAAAAAAGAAGTAAAAGAATAAATACAGATGAAGTTACTGAAAGGGATAGATTGAGGGACAGTGACATATATTGTATGCTGCTTCACTATGCAATAATAGATTGCTATGCAATAATGTTTTGAAATAAATGAATACTTTTAACCAGCTAAGAGGCTTTAAATGGATCAGTAAAGACATTTTTCATTGTCAACATTGATAATAATAAGAAATGTTTCTTGAGCACCAAATCAGCATATTTGCATGATTTCTGAAGGATCGTGTGAAACTGAAGATTGGAGTAATGATGGTGAAAATTCAGCTTTGCATCACAGGAATAAATTAAATTTTAAAATGTATTACAGCAGAAACGGCTATTTTAAATTGCGCTAATATTTCACTGTTTTTACTATAATTTTGATCAAATAAATGAAGCCTTGGTGATGTAACGGAGAGTCAGAGGCGTGCGGATCCATTTGCAGCTTTATTGAGAATCAAAGGCAGAGTAAACAGGCAGTAATCAGACAACAGCGTCACGAACAGCAGGGATAATCTAGGAGAATAAACAGTAGCAGAGAGAGGGTCGGGGCAGGCGACAGAGAATCACACTAGTAAGAACAGTCCGAGGTAATACACAAGAGATGACAAGACGGGATAAACGCTCAGAAATGTAGCCGGGGCAATACAAGACTTCGCAGACACTGAGAGTCTGGGAGCTGCTTAAATAGGGAAGCTAAGGGGAAACACCTGTGCCAGTAATCAGTCCCAGGTACGGGGTGCATGGGAAATGTAGTCCATGGACGTTAGTACTCGGGAGAGGGTGCCCTCCGGAGGCCGTCGGAGAGAGCCACAGAGGCCTGATTCGTGACAGGTGAGCATAGGAGACGACTTTTAAAAATGTGGTATATTCCTTATATTGTAGTACGTTTTAGCACATGATATTGTCTTTAAAGCATGATATGGATTTTTACTGACATTTTCCAGGTATTAGACCTTGTCTTGTGTGGTTTATAGTGGAGTTAATAGGGCTCATTGTAGTTGTGGGTGTTCTGCTGCCCTCTGCTGCTGCTGGTGTTGTTGTATGTGATGTGTGACGTGGCATGGTGAACTCCTCTTTCTCTGCCTTCAGCGCTCAGACCATAAACACACCACACAGTCGTATGTTGGCAAGCACAGCAAAGCTTGCAGCAATATAAATGGAAATTCTTCATAAACAGCCATTTCTTGTGTTTCCCAATAGGTTCCATGACAATTTTGGGACTGTTGTTTTATAACTGATAACTATAACTGAGCAGATCCACTTTTCACAGTTTTAACCCAGCTTTCATTGTTTCAAGTACAAAAAAAAAATAATTAAAAGCTGAAATATTTATGAACGTATGTGAATTTTATTTGCTTTTGTGAGCAAATAATATTTATAAAATCAAGTAATTTTGATTACAGATTAGGTCTATAAAATATTTTGACATACGTTTTCAATATGAGATTAATGTGTTGCAATATGACTCGTGTTTTGTATGGCTTTAATTAGTCCTTCCTGAACTGATGTAGTTTGTACTGAACCGTTAGGGCCAGGGACGCGGGAAGTAGGGGTGCTGAGGGTGCTGCAGCACCCCCTGTTTTCACATGGTTGCAAATGCAATGCCAAGTTTGTTCATTTAAATTTATTCAGTTTTAGCATTTAATAATTTATTTGTAATGATCTCTGAAATGTAAATTGTAAGTGGGCTATAATAAACCCATGTTTATCTTTATAAACATGATTAATTTTACTTGTGATGTTTTCTATATGGGATGATTAGCCTAATCCTCATGAACACGTGACGCTAGCGCGTGGTATCAGACATTAACTGTACAGAATGCGAACAAGATTAACTTTAATACAAGGAGATAATGGCGCAAAAGCGAATTTCCAATTTTTTTTAAATGCCCATCCCAGCAAAAACTTTCCAAAATCGGCATCCAAACAACACCAGCCCCAGCACGAGCACCGACGTAGGTGAAAAAAAAAGAAATCCAAGAGATGTGGCTATTTTTGGAAAGGAAAAAACACTCCAGAAAGTTTGTTTGTGGTTTTTCCACTTCGAATAAAGGGAAATTGTTCTTCATGGTAACCATGGATTCCCTCCACACCAGCTAAACTACACCCACAGTATGTGACATGTTGTTAATGGTATCTGTAGTTTTGATTGGTGAATCTGTACTCACTGTTTTCTGTCACTGTGTTCCTCACAGGTGGATAATGCCAAGGTTCTTCACTATGTTGGAGCAGGGGTAGCCTTCCCCACCAGTATGCTGTTTGTGTGTCTGCAGTCTGCACTGACCTACCGCCTGGCGAAGACTCAGGGAGAATATAATGTGGGTCATTTGCGCCTCTTTATGACCCTGCTGGCCTTTGTGGCCCTGGTGCTTAGTATCCTTTACACTATCGCTCATTCTCATGTCATTATATTGTATATTTGTATTAGGATTGTGAATCAGTTTAGATTAGGGCTGTCATAACATCAGATTTTCACTGCATGATTAACGTAGCCACAATAATTAACAATGATATTAATGCAAGAGCTATAGAAGAAAAAACAATCAAATCCATCTCTATCATTTTTTTCTCTTTATTGGCCAATGATTTGTAGATGGAGAGAGAGAATTAACATTCACATTGTAAGGAATGAAAAAATAATGCGTAATTAATCACTAATAACTTATTGGCTGTTTATTAAGCACATATTCTGCATGACCATATTCTGCATCCCTAATCCTACCCAATACCTAAACTTAACAACTACCTTACTAACTATTAATAAGCAGTGAATTAGTTAATTGAGGCAAAAGTCGTAGTTAATGGTTTGTTAATAGTGAGAATTGGACCTTAAAATAAAGTGTGACCTTTTTTCTTCTTCAAATCAATATAACATTCTGTCCTGTTCTCCCACCATTTCTCAAACCACCAAAGCCAATATTAAAACAAGTAATTGCTTTTGTATGTGTTATTGTCATTTGTAAATACTTAAAAAAAAAAAAAAAAGATAAGTGTAATAATAAATGTAATGTAAAGGTAAATTCAGTTTTAAAATATCGATAACACTTTATTTTAAGGACCAATTCTCCCTCTTAACTAGTTGCTGATTATCATTGTGTATTACTAGCTTATTGGCTGTTTATTAGTACAGTTATTAGTTTATTAATTTAGTTTTATTAGTAGTATTAATAGTATTAGTATATAATAATATTGTATTAATAGTATTATTTATTGTTATTTATTAGTATTTATAGAGCACATATTAATGCATTATTCTATATCAACATCCTCTATTAACATTTTAGATCCCTTAATCCTACCCCATACCTAAACTAACTCAGCAACTACCTTACGATTAATAAGCAGCAAATTAGGAGTTTATTGAGGCAAAAGTCGTAGTTAGTAATTAATAGTGTGAATTGGTCCCCAAACTAAAGTGTGACAAAAATATCAAGCACTGATTTTAGATTTTTATATGCATTATGTGCGTTAAATATGCATTCAAATGCACAGGAAATTCAAACTGCGACTTTATTGCAAATCTCAATCTGCAAAGTAAAATAATTAAATAATGTAACAATTTTGTCACACTTTACATAACATAAGCGAATTTGGCGAGTGGCCTGAACTTTTTATCGAAAACATTTTCTATGATTAAAAAATTATTAATTCTTACAGCAGCTGTTATTTTTTCATTGGTCAGGTTTAGTGTTGCAATATTCTCAGATAACATATTTTCCCAGAATGTTTGAATATCCTGTTGTATTCAGCTTTTGCACTGCTTTTCTTTCTCAAGTCAGTGAGTTCATGCATGTCCTTCCTGTAATGCAAACAGGCCTGAGCATGAGTTTATAGTGTTCACTATGATTCCTTGATGAAACTTTCCTCAGGCGGGGTGTTTTTTGTCCAGGAGAGTTTTGTCCTGCAACATGCATCAGCCATTTTCGAGTGGGTCTTCTGTGTCATTATTATGCTGTTCTACGGCACATTCGCTTTTGAATTCGCCGGGATATCTAATGACACAATGATGGTGCTGGCCCGAGGGCAATCTCTACAGTCCGTAAGCCGAGACCACAAAATGGAGTCTCTTGCTGGGGCCAGTCAGCAACAGCCTGAGAGCCTGTCCATACTGTAACCTCAGTGTCCTGTATCTCTCTCAACACTAGAAAAAACGCTACAACCGCAGAGGGAAAGTAACAGAAACTGGACATGGCTCTCATACACCTTTGCCAAAGAATCCAGCTCAGATTTTGCACATTTTTGAGAGACTTCTTCACTCTCTGGGGACCTTTTGAATCGCACAGCTTCCATGCTGGGAAAAACAAAGATCATTGCCTGGATGTGTTGGAGTTTCCATTAGATCTCATTGGGATTTTTAAGTGTCTGCGTTACTTGGATAATAGAACTACAGAGTGCTAGTTGGCAAAACTACATGCGTCCATTGGTGAAACCAAAGGACCGCTACAACAATGGTGTAGTCAACTAAACCGAAGCCTTTTGCAACCATCAACACTCAAGCTTTTTAACATAGTGCCTCAAAACAAATGTTATTGTGCCAATTTCAGACAATGCAAGACAATGGATCCCAAAATGCTGATGTTTTCTGTGCCTTTAGGTTTTTTTCAAAGGCAGAGATGGCTAAATAACATTTTATTGTCACATATCTCTGCTGTCTGTTAACTGATCGTGGTGGTTCATTTTGCCTTAATCATCGTATGCTGTCTGAAATGTATATTTCAGATGATTGTCATTACCGATGTGCCTTATACCAAAAACCAAATACCGATATTTAACAGAAATGTATGTCCATAGTCTAACTGCCTTAATTGAATATATAAGGCATGTATTTTTTTTGATATGCAGCAAATATTATGCTGGTTGTAAACAACTAAGCTGAACGAGATCAGCAAAAACCTCTCACGAAACAGGCGCATAAGCTTATCACATTAAGTCACCAGTAATTGGTGCCATTCCAGATGTCATGTTAGAGTCTATGAGAATTGCTGTACATTGTGACCAAATGTAATTGAGAAGAGAGTTTGTCCTGAGGTCAGTGTGATCATAGGTTTCCCTCTTTCTGTCACTGTGGGAATTGTTGTGTGTGTGTTGTGGGTTTATGGGAGTTGGTTACAAGGAAGCGTCTTGAAATGAAAGACTGAGTTTTCTCAGAAGCTGCCCTTTAATGTAAAGGGTGACTAGTTTAGGTGTTCTTAGATTACAGTAGGTCTCTGTGAGCTGTTTTTTTGCAGACAAAATGACTTGCAGCAGGACTGCAAGTTCAGAATTGATTTTGTTTTGAAAAACAGATGCAATTTGGTTTACATTGGTCAAATGTTTTCATGTATGACAAAAAATCGTATTGTTCCTCAATTAATATCAAGGGAGTTTTGTCATTTCATTTGTCAGGATAAGAGCCATATTTATACTTATCACCGATTGATCCTACCAGTGCCGTCCTGAAAACATATTTCGTGTCATTTCAGTTTACTAATTCTCTTCTCTCAGGAATTTCAGATCTGTCTTTTGCTGTCACATATCTTCTCTCTGCATTCAAGACTGCATCGATCCACCAGATATAAGTGAATGTTTTACCATTTCCATTACTTGGTTATAACAGTTCCTTCATAGAGAGCTTTATTTTGCTTCAATTGCATCTTGCAATACTGTGTTAACCCCATAAAAAATTCACTATATACTCACTTTCATTTTGTTTCAAATCCAAATGCTGTTATGTTTCCTGTGGAAGTCAAAAGAAGAAATTTGAAGAATTGTTGTGCAGCTCTATTCCTTCACAGTAATGACCACCATAAAAGTTTCACTGATAATCTTCCCCTTTGCTGAAGCTATGAAATCTCAAGAAAGTGACATATCAGTGCCATCAAATCTGAGATTTGATCAGTGCAGAATAAGGGAGGATTTTCTGTGAAAAATGTATTTAATTTTGTTTCTCACATAAAATGATCACATGGCTAGAAGAACTGAAATACCGCAAACAAGTCACACAACAGCACGTTTTTGTGCATTTTGGAGCTTAACAGACATGAGATACATTTTTAAAGGGGTCATATGATGCGATTTCAAGTTTTCCTTTCTCTTTGGAGTGTTACAAGCTGATTGTGCATAGATAAGATCCCTGAAGTTGCAAAGACTGAAGTCTCAAAACCAAAGAGATATTCTTTATCAAAGTTAAGACTCTGCCACGCCCCCCTAAAACGTCTCGTTCTAACACGCCCCCACATATCTAGGTCACTATGTGGGAATATTTGCATAATGCGCCCAAATGTGCACGCAAAGAAAGAAGGCGTGGTTTCAGTAACCGCAGTTAGTGTTGAAGCAGCCATGTCAGAGAGACGCTGTGTGTTTCTAGGCGAAAGCAAAAGCACTTTATTTGGCCTTCCGAAAGTAGATGCATTTAGGAATCTTTAAGATCACTTACAACAGAACAGCAATGCATTTTATGGACGACCATTTCGTGAACCCAAGAGAGGAGGTAATTCTGACTTTGCTATGACAATCTGGCGCTTCTGAATCAGCTACTGTTTTGTTATTAGTTTAAGGCATAGAGGACCTACAATAATGTACAGTATTTGAAAAATAATGTGTTTTTTGAACATTAAAGCATGTCAACATATTCTGTTACACCAAATACACAAAATAATGATCTTTAAAAAAGCATCATATGACCCCTTTAAAGTAACATGCAAACAACCAGCATCTTCAAAAGTTTGCAAAAATTCTCATTTTTTGTTCCACAGGGGCAAAAATAAATAGAGATGTCAACATGAGGGTGAAAAAGTCATTTTTGACTAGTCCTTTAAAGGGGTCATCGGATGCCCATTTTATATAAGCTGATATGATTCTTTAGGGTGTTAATGAAAAGTCTATAACATACTTTGGTTAAAATTTCTCAATGGTAGTGTAAAAAACACCCTTTTTTCCTTGTCAAAATGAGCTGTTTTCAGCACGTCGTTCTAGTCCATGTTGCTTTAAATGCTAATGAGCTCTGCTCATCCCACCCCTCTTCTGTGGGTGATGAGCAGTGGTGGTTACTTTAGTAGTGAAACTTGCTAACTAGCACATATTAGGTTAGGCGATTTGCAAAGATTCATAAAAAACCTTATACTCACTTCTTGTGTAGATGAAGCTCGATCACAAATGATTCGCGCGAACATAGACGCATTTAGGCAGATCAGGGATCAGCACATTCCCTTCAAAACGAAAGTAAGGTTAATCCTCTGCGTCTTCAGCGGCTCAGATGTCGGGAGTGAATGACGACTGCTATGTTCATTATTACATCCCACAGCATAACACCTCAGTGGCTTAATCGGAGACATTCTTGTCTTCCCCTGCACCGGAGTCCACACAATGGCTGACTCATGACAGCTCACTCAGGGCGGGTCTAAGGTAAGACGGCCTTGTCAATCAACTATCGTGGGAGGGGCCTGTGCAGAACTACGTCATTCTGACAGGAATCTCAGAACAGCCTGATGTGACAGAGGATTTTAAAACTGGGTGGATTTTTATCATTATAGGATGGATGTTTACACAAACTTCCAACACACATTTATGTTCAAACAACAACAAAAGTGAATTTAGCATCCGATGACCCCTTTAAAAAACAGTTAAAAGAGTCATCTTTTTCTGCATTACCCTTTGCCTAGACTTGTGTTCCTTCATGTATTATGGATTAGTTTGCTTAATCTTGGACTCTTACTGCTGAAAACCTGCTGTCATCATTCAACGAGACATCAGCATTTAATAACATACCAGATAGCAAAAATACCTTCACGTGCCATTGTTTCAACCAAAGATTGGAGAAATGTTTTGGAGTTTTATGGCAGGATGTGTTTGATGGTGCTGTAAATTTGCCTTAAAATGTATGGAAATAAAGCAGAATCAGACATTACACTCGGTAAGCTTTCTCTCTCATTTCTGTGAATGAACTTCTGTGAGATATGTTAGACTGTGTCACACAATTCCTGTTAGTGGTCACCATGGCCTTTGAGTTTATTTAAACAGATTGGATTTGGTCATTCTTGTTTGACTTAAGTGTTTCGCTTCAGCTTTTGGTGACCAATTGCAAAACTAGTAGTAAACATATTATTTGCACATAATGGAATGATTGGTTGGCATATTAACCAACAAATGAATCATTCATTGTGTTTAAAGACATCCAAACTGACACCAGAATTTTCCACACTTTAATTATTCACATGTCAAATCCTTAATTCAATCTTGAAGACAAAAGTTGAAAATCTAAAAGAAAACAGTAAGAAGAAGATGGTTTATAGTGTTTTTAGGGGTTAATGCCTCTGTTGAACTCCCAGAAGTCTAAAGAAAACAAATGAGTGGCTTTCACACACATTTCAAGTGTGCAACATAATCTGGCTTCGTTCATAACTGAAGTAGGCTACACACACACACACATATGCTCACTCTCCAGAGGTGACAATTAATGCAAGACCAGCACAGGATCTGTACACGTAAACAACAATATTCTCATAATATCCCTCTGCCATTATCAAACATTAATGAGATAATGAATTCAAAAAATGAAGCATAAAAAGCTATTGTTCTTATGATGCAAGAAAAAGCACACAAATTAGACCCTTTTGAGACTGTAAATATATGATGCAAGGAATATGTTTATCAAATCCACAATATGCTTATAACTCTTTGCAACACACTGCTGTAACTTGTTACAGCCACAATGAAAAACTGACTAAATAGTGAATTTGGCTCATGAAAAAGAAATAGAAATAGAAATTACAATGTAGTAAAAACTGAATAATTATGATTTAAATCATTTTAAGTATAAAGCTGAAATGTGTTTTTCTGAGGCACTAGTGGCACCAAACAAAATTGCACTGCAATTTCCCGTGCTCTCCTCTGTTGATGGAAAAAAAAACAGATATTCCCACCCAAAACTCGCGCCAGTGTTGCTGCTGACAGAATGATGTTTTGATAGCACCTCAGAGTCACAGTACTTACACTTTTTAAGGTAATCAAACTATGATATTACTACTTAAGGTTTTCTTTATATATTCTAAGCTGGTATAGGCTAGGATGCACTTTAGCCTTAAGGAATGCAGTGTTGCCAATTTAGCAATTTTGTTGCTAGATTTAGCAACTTTTCAGACTACCCTAGCAACTGTTTAATTTTTTTAAAAAAAGCACCTAGCAACAAATTTAGCTATTTTGAAAAAGTTTTTGGCAACTTTTAGCAACTTTTGTAAAGTGACTCAAATGATAAATAAATGCACCTATTTTCATCTAAATTACACAAAAAGAGGAAACCATTGAACAGCTAGCCAGCCAAGCAGCACATCAACCTGGAGAGAGCTGAAGAAAGATGCCTAACAGTACAAACATCAAATGTGCATTAAGTTGCTAGTTCCAATTGGTCAATAATAAATGCACATTTATGATACAGCATGTTATTAGCTTGTATATATAATTGTTGTTCAGTTAGGTTCACTGTAAGAAAAACTGTTCAGAATGTGCAGTTTTACTAGTTAATAAGAAAATACACAAAATGTGTAACTTCAATAATTCAATGTTGTAAAAAAAATCAGATCATAAAGATGTTACTTATGTTACTTTTACAAATTAAAATATTTTATGTTTATAATATTATATGAACAAATAACATTAAAAAAATATTTTTTGTTGAGATTTGAGTAATCTCGTGTATTCTACGTAAAAACGCTGTTTTGTGTCATGGTTATGCAATGACGTCATCACGCAATGACATCACAACGCCGTTTAGCAACTTTTAGCAACAAATCGATCTGCTTTTAGCAACTTCCCCTGAAAATTAGTTGGCAACACTGAAGGAATGATAGATTGTCATGAGTGCTGATGCGGTGAAACAGTTGTGAGGGATCCTTTCACGATAGACTTCTAAATAAAAAAATGGATTTAATTTATCAATCTTGACATTTACAGTATATATTCGTCTAATCTGAAATGTAGCATATGCGGGAAGAGAATTAAAATAAGCTGAGAGAGGAGCGCTGGAGGAAAGAGCGACTGAATGACTGAAAGTAAGACTCGCGCGCCTCTCAGTTTAAACCTTGAGACTCTTGGCCATCTCCCAGGGGAACTCTGATCGGCCAAAATGACCGTAGCAGGCCGTGCTCTGGTAGATCGGTCTCTTCAGGTTCAGGTCCCTGTCAAGTAGAAATTGAGTTTGTTAGCTTTTCACCAAACAGCCCTTGTCTGAATCCTACTTACACCAAAACTGTAATTAATTAATTAAATAAAATGTACTTAATTTATGTGCATCGTTACTTTTTAAAAGACCCTTAATACATAGTAGAACCGCCATTTAGGCCAGTGGTTCCCAACCCTGGTCCTGGAGGCACCCCAACACTGCAC